CGGGAGGGGGGCGTGCCGGGGGAGGCGCCGCGGTGGGCGCGGCTTTTCAGCGACGACGAGTGAAGGCCGGGGGGCGTCACCCGCGACTGCACGGGTGACTGCAGCAACAAACAGGAGCGGCGGCATAACGAGCAGGCGCGTCTGTCGGCCTGGGCGTTGCAATCAGGGACGACATTAGTTCGTCCTCCATTCCGTCGCACCTCTCTGTGACGGCACGCGTGTCTGTGACGCCTGCACCATGGTAATGAGCTCTGCAATCAGTACGGCTGTTGCTGGGGGGGTAACGGCCACTTCAACGGTGACAGCCGATCGTGACAACACCATCCACGCAGACATTGGATACATGAACTTGAGGGGAGACATATTAAGAAAGGTTTGACCGATTGAGCACGACTCACCCATGCCCTTTCTCGTTGGCCACACCCGACAGCAAAAGCACTTTCACCGTGATGCCGCTGCGCACTGCTGGCACCCCGCAGCGCACCCACCGACTTTATGTACAATTCAGCTTGAAGTCTTTCGATTACTCTCTTACTACGTGCGTTTGGTCCTGCTAAAGTCCTGGCGGATATCACCCTGCCAAGATGGGCCCAAGAACGGGTGCCACTCTGTTGGGTGTGGCATTGTTGACCGTAATATCATCAGCACAGTGTCCAGTCTCATACACGGGCATCCAAGGCTCATTGCTGTTCGGGGGCCTGCACAGCGCGCAGTGCACATTGAGCAATACCGGACAGAAATGTCCGACACGAAGCCCTAAATGGTGAGTTATTGAACTTGATGCACCATCAATTGCGCTCTCGGCCGTCCGCTGCCAGGGGTCACCCCCGCCGGCCAGCACACCCGTGAATGGTGCCCGCGCATACCGCGCCCTGCGACGCGCGCAGGGTGGAGGCTTGCCAGAACAATCCTGCCTGGGTCAAGTTTGCGGTGTGCAGCCAGGAGCAGCGGGCGGCAGGCCTGCGGGTTGCACAGCAGCTGAGAGGCGGCGCCGCGCTGGGCGTCGCGCCATGCGACCTTTGGCCCTACTTGCGGGGTCGCACACTGTGGCTTCTTGGGTGAGTCATTCATGCCGGCAAACGCTCTTACGGTTCCGCAATCCAGCATCAAATGCTGCCAGCCTCGCCAACCCGAGCCGCTCAGGGGCAGCCGCCTCCACCTCGTCCAGCGCGCGGTTGCGGCCGCAGCACACACAACCAACGGCTCACCACGCCCTCTGCGCAGGGACTCCCACTCTAAGCAGCTGTTTAAGGCGCTTCAGTGCTTCTTGATCGATTTCTGGGACGGGCGCGAGTGCAAAGCCAGCGGCGATGACAACCTCGTGAAGCAGGTGCGCCAGGGGAGGGGAAGCCGGCGAGAAGCCGTGCTCCCTGACAACGCGTGGGCCTGGCCCCAGCTCAAATGTATGCCCCCCGACAATGCGCACAATCAGGACACTGCACAAAAACAATCCTTCTGTACAAACACCATTTTTCCCTCAAATCTTGCCCCACAGCTCGACGCCCTGCCCCTGCGGCCCGGCGAGTCCCGCTGCATACACCTCTTCGGCAACGGCCGCGTCTGCTTCGTGCATGTTGTGCTGGGCACCAGTTTGCTCAACAACCCCCAGGTGACATGCTGCGCTGCACAACGGTTGACCACACGCGGCTTGCAAGCCCAAACCATAAGGTCAACAGCATGGGGCCCGTGGACATGGATCCTCTGCACAGGCAGCAGGCTGAGCCCACATGAGCATGCGCAATCGAAGCTTAGCAACCGCACCTCGCTGCGCTCGACCTAACACCCACATTTTGCCCGCCAGGTGGCCAGCAACGGCGTGCTGACCCTCTTGAGGGAGAGGGGCCTCGCCAGCCGCGCCGACATATTTGTGCCGCAGTTTGGGGTGTGGCACGCCAAGCAGGGCGACGCGGGGCTGCAGCAGCACAGGCGCGCGCTGCAGACCCTTGGGGAGGACTTCAAGGTGGGGCTGGGTGGGTGCGTGCGAACTGGCTGCGCGCTGTGCGCGCATGCATGTGTGTGTGTGTGTGTGTGTGTGTGTGTGTGTGTGTGTGTGTTGTGTTTTTGAAGGTTGGCACCAACATTTGAACCCGTGCATTGTGTCTGCGCGCTGATCCAGACTCGGCATGCGCCCATGCGCGGGCGCTGTGGCCCCAGCAGCCGCATCTCCCGAAAACCTTTGCTACCGAGCTGCTACCAAGCGTCCGAGCTCGCCTCCCGCGCCATTTTTTTGCTGTGCCGTGCAGAGGAATGGTGCCCAGTGGCCGCACATGGTCTTCCGGGAGAGCCCCATGACTCACGACAAGGACGTCCAGAGCAAGACCTGCCTGCCCGCCGCAGCAGGTGCGCACGCACCCATCGATGGCGTCGGGGTGGTGTTGTAGGGGCGGAGTTGACCAGTGGGCACAAACGGCTTCGCGGACACCTGTGGGCCCGCCTGTGTCCCAAGGCGTGCGTGAGAAAGAGGAGCGGTCGGGCGAAGCAGAGGGCGGAACCGATAGCGGCTCGCGCAGGCCCCCCACTGTGTTCCCCAACACCTTCCCCATGTTCTTTTTCATCTCACCCAACTCCACGAGGTGAACCGACCGCGCGGCCCGCGCGTCTGCCCCTCAACCCCGTCCTCGTCGTGCGCCGCCCCCGCCGCAGGCTGGATCTACGACGCCGCGACGGGCACTGTCTCACTGAGCCCCGCCGCGCGCTCGGACAAGGCCGCGCTCATCACGCGGGGCGGGCCCATCAACTCGATCGCGCGCGAGGTGCTGCCGGGCTACGGCCTCGCGATGATGCGCGGCTTCGACCTCAGCGTCCCCCTGCACGCCTCGCATGTGGGCGCGAGGGGCGTTGCAGAGCTGGACTGCCTGCACTACTGCCAGCACGGACTGCCTGAGGTGGGGGGCCACGCGGGGCGCAGGGCGCAGGGCGTCGGCGCGGGCGGGCGCCGGCATTTGGGCGTGGTGTTTGTGCGCCCGGCAGGGGTGACGTGTGGATTTGGCGGGATTCAGGACGGTCAGCACAGTCAGGCGTGTGGGGGCCGGCAAAGCACGATCGCTCTTGGATGGTTGCATGGTGACCGGGGAGGCGCGCACCCCTGTGCTGAACTGCACAGCAGGCCTCGCTCATCAACCGGCGGCGGCTGACGCCAGCCCCCTTTCCCCCCGCTCTGCTTCTCAGATCTTGGTGTACGAGCTGACGCGGCTCATAAAAAGCGGCGCCGCCGGCATCCAGCAGTTGCCTTTCGCACCGCCCCAGCAGCGCCTGGTTTGCAGCCCAATTTAGGGGGCAGAGCCTCCAGTGTGGCAGAGCGCCTCCTTGAGCATTTGTGCATATGTGCAGGACTGCAAATCAACAATCTCAACAGAGGGGGTGAGCATGTCGCTGCCACAACCTACGCACAGCGGGCCGCGAGGTCACGTAGTTGCATTGACCTGTGGGCTTTCCCTTCGACAGCGCAGCATCCATGGGGCCACGAGCTTGTCGACGGCCGTTTGCAAGCGCCGGCGCCGTCAATGGCGCGCCGCGCATACATTACACGCGCTTGGAATGCACTCGTCCTTCTGCTCATATCATTGGAATCAACGAATTTCCCAGTATCTGTAGCTAGCTGCATCTCCCAATTTGGTGTGGTGTACATACATTCGTTGGCTGGCTGTCTTCTCACGTGGTCTTGGGCTTTCAAAAGCAGTGCTTTCTGCTGAGACATCAGCATGTCTTTCAACTGTTTCGCAACAGCATTGCTGCCTCCTTGCCGATACCTTTGGCAGGTGATTGCATCATCACTTTCTTCTGCGTGGCCTGGTTGAGGCGCATTGGACGGGTTGTGAGAGCGCCGGCCGTGCCGGGCACAGCACATGGCCAGGGTGGAGCTGTGTAAATGAATTACCTGTCTCCCAGCCACGCAGTGATGTGCTTGTTGCCCAACAGCATCGGCAGCCAGTGACACCCCAGGTGCGGAGGTTGCAAGGTAAAACAAGCCGAACACATCTCCAAGTCACCCTGCCTGCCCCGCCGCTGCGCCGGGCCCCTCCGGCTGCCCCGCCGCTGCACCCCTTGCAATCTGCGCATAAACCACAGCGCCGGACGCCGACAGGCCAGCGAGCACGTCAGCGCCTGCAGCCTTGGTCACCCCGAGCCACCGCGCGTCACCCCTGAAAGAGAACGCGCCCCCGCCTGCCCGCGGCCCGTCCTCGTCATCAGCCGCAGGCGGGCGTGGCGCTGCGGCCGCCGCGGCGGGGGCCTCTGCGGCGGCGGCAGTGGCGGCGGCGTGCACCGCCGCGGTCCCGTAGGGCCGCACGGCGACGGGCGGCGGTGGCTTGCCCCAGCTGCCACAGACCACTTCCGAGTCCAGCCCAGAGGCGCACACGTACAATGGATTTGACTCCAGGAACGATATGTGGTGCACAGCCTGCCGCGTGGCGCCCGTCCACTTGTCCGTGCACCGCCACCTGCGCAGACGTCGGTCCCGAGTGGCGCATTCCGCACGTTTTTGGGGCCGTGTTTGGTGGCGCCGGCTGTGTCATTCGGCTCTCCCCTCGGGCTCGTTGGGCAGGGGGCTGCGAGCCACACTGGGCGTCGGCAAGCGCCGAACCCAGACGGGTGTGGCACCGGTGGTCGCAGCAGATGATATCTGTCATCGGTCAAGGCACACCAGCCAGTGCCTCAGAACGTACATGTCTGGGTTTCAACCCCCCACCATCTGTGCACGCATGCACGAACGTGCGTCTGCACGCGTGCACAGATGCTCACACGTGCACACACATAGGAAACACATGCACACACACAGCTGCCAAACATTCACATCACACGCGCACACATGCACTACGGCCGCACCTGCGTGGGTCAATCATCTGCACCGCCCGCTCCGCCCCGGCCGCGCCCAGCAGGCCACCCTGCGCCTCGCACCAGCCCAGGGCGTACAGCGGGCTGCCAGGCGCAGCGGCCGCGACGCGCTGCACACAGCCGCCGCGCTCGCCCGCGCGCACGTCCCAGATCGACACCTGCAGGGCAGGCGGGCGGGTGGGCGGGCAGGCACGAACTGTTACAGCTTCCTCGGGCTCGTTTCAGTAGCCGACAGGGCCTACTAGAGGTGGGCGTGCAGGGAGAGCAGGCGGTGAGGCCTCAGAGAAGCAACGGCTTGCATGCCTTGACGCATGGGCTCGTCAAATAGGCACCGCGCCTCCCCGGCGTCGCGACGCGCGCAGCCCGAGCGCCGGCCCGCTCGCCGGGCCGGGGGCGCGCACCACGTGCGTCTCTGCCAGCGCCAGCGCGGCCGCGCCGCCGCCGGCCAGGCCTGCTGGCAAGAACTCTATCGCGTACGGCTGTGCCGACGCCCGCAGCGTCCTCACGCGCGCCGCGCCCTCGTACACCGCGACGTCGCGCGCGAAGCCGCGGGCGGCGGCGAGCGCCAGCGGCCCCGCGCGGCTGAAGGCGACGCCCGCCCAGCCGCCCTCCCTGGTGGGTGGGTTGGGGAGAAGGGCGCAGGGCGGCGCGAGGGCTTTCGTTGCTATGTGTTCAAATCGATGCAAGCCAATGCCGGCGACAACGGTTGCTGGCGGTGCCCGCCTGATGTTCGTTGCTGTCACAATGCTTGTGGCGGCAAAGCGCGTGTGCTCGCGGCGCCACGCCGGCCGCGGATGAAGAGGTGAGAGCCCCTGCGCGCCTGAGGGGGTCCTCTGGCTCTAGCCGCTCAACAGACTCGACCCTCGCCCCCGCCGCCGGCTGCAGAAGCAGCGGCTCGCCCCCGTCCGCCGCGGCTGCGTCCGCCAGCGCCGACGTCGGCGCCGCTTGCTGCTGCTCGATCGCGATGCGGGACAGCGTGCCGCGGCCGTATGCGTCCACTGTTGCGAGCATGAGGCGGCCTGCGCGCACGGCGCGTCATCATTGAACAGGCTGTCAAGGGTTGTGTTGCTTGGTCAGCACACACCAAATATTTTAATTTCGGCTTGCTGCTTTGACTTGTCCCGACCAGCATTGCATTTGCGTCCCTAGAGGACCTGACACTGAATCACAAGAACCCGACATGCGGCATACAGAGCAGTGCCTGCTGCCTGCCGGCCCCTCGGATCACGCACACCCCAGGTCACCTTCCTCCAGCTGCCGCACGGCCAGGCTCTGCACCTCGCCCGCGTGCCGCAGCTCCCCCAGCCGCTGCGCCGGCGTGCCCGCTGCACGCGCTGGGATCACGACCCCCTCCTTCCCCACGCGGCCGCTGATGCAGCCGGCAGCCTGCGCGCTGTGCCAATACACGCTGGTGCCCGACGCAAACACTGACGCAAACAGTTGCTGGTCGCCCTGCTGCGGCAGCTGCTTCACGGTTGCGGTTTGCGCGAAGGCGAGGAAGGTGCGGTCAACCAATGTCTACTCGTGCTGCTGCAGTCGGCTTGCTGCAGAGGCGAACCATGGCGCGCAGGTGTAATGTACATACAATGGCCATGATATGTATCTATCCAATCATATATGGTGCAACACCCAAAATGCGCGGCACTCACCACTGCGGCGATGCGGCACGCGTGCATCGCGCCAGGTGACAGCTTATCCTGCAGGCCTGCCGACATTGTGAACAGGCTAGCCACACTTGGTGGCGGCAGGCTGCTCAATACATCAGGTTCTGGCTTTGCCTTCTTTACCACTGCATGCGGATGAGCCATTTGAGCCCCGAGAATGACAGATCAACCTCGCAACTCAGTCTGGGCCAACTCTGCGGGTGCACGAGCACATATACATTGCAAAATCAATGCAACATACATTCACGCGGGCTCGACCCTTGAGACTTGCGGCCTATCTGTGACAAACTGTGCCCGATGTGCGCAGCTGCTTGCCCTGCCCAGCTCATTTACATCACACTGTGGCATGGAGCGTCCTGCACAGGAGGACGGCCTGGAAATTGGTGGCTCAACACCACAGTAATCTGAATGGAGCCATCTTAGAACCTTACCAAGGCTCGTTGGTTTCAAACCCCTCACTGCCTATGCATGACAGTGGTCAACAGCCTTGCCTGCCCTTTGCAGCCCCGAGCCACTGGCAGGATAGGCGCGCTGTTTACCAGCACTAACGGATTGGTACAAGATGTGTTGATAAATTGGCATGCACATTGGCCGCATGCGCACGAAAAAACATTGATTCTGGCCCCCATAAAGCATCGCGCATGTGTTGAGTGCCCCACAGTGTCGCATCCTGCAAAATTCGACTGGCCCCAAGTGCGCATGCATGTCGGCGCGCCGCCCGTGAGTGGCGCGATTTTATATCGCGTCATGTTTATTCACATCCACTTCTTGCTAGCTGCGCCCATGGAAAACACGCATGGCAAGCTAGAAAGCCGCATGGCAGTCACCTCACTGTACGGCGGAGACGGGTGAATGGCGACCGTGCAATTTCCGCTGACCCACCCTGCCGCCGCCCCTCACTGGCTCGCCGCCGCGTCAGCCTCAGCGTTGGAGTCCTCACCGTCTGCGTCCAGTGTCCCGCTGGCCATCTTCTGCAGCAACAGGCGCAGCATGTCAAGGCAGCCGCCCATCTCCCGCTGAAACTTGGCCATGCGAGCCAAGTCCTCCACTGCAGCAGAAAGCCGCGCGCGCAGCGCCTGTTCCACACGCGTGGGTGGTTGTGCATGTATGTGAGAATGTGTGTGTATGTGAGATTGTGTGTGTATGTGAGAATGTGTGTGTATGTGAGAATGTGCATGTGAGATTGTGCATGTGAGGATGTGTGGGTGTGCACATGCGTGTGTATATGAGTGTGCGTACGCCTGATGCGCGGTGCCCACGCATGCATGTTGACGTGCTCGACTCACAGCATCACGCCATCAGCAGAGCAAAGGACTCTAGCCGCTGGTAGCATGTACACATGCGTCAACTGCATGCCAGCAGCACCAGCTGCTACTCAATATCATTGCAGCACCCAAGATTGCGGCGACACCTCGGTGCATGTCGCTTCCCGGCTCTGCCCGTCTACTCGCCCAGACAACCGCCTGTCTGCCCCGCCGCAAACCTGCTTGTCTACCAAGCCGCTGCTGCCCGCCTGCTCCAGCGCTCCCTTAAGAAGGGAGTGCAGGCTCTCGAGGCACCGCACGCCGGCCCGGAGCCGCGCCTGGGCGCCGGCCGCCTGGTGGCCCGCGGTCCCGGCCGACGACTGCATAGAGCCGACCCGCTGCTGCGCCTGGGCCAGCTGCAGGCGAGCGACCACGGCCGGGAGGCGGAGAAAGACATTTGACATTGGACTATTCACCGCGCGGAAGCAAAAAAAAGCCGCATGCCTTCAATCATGTGGATGGGGCATTACATGCGTGCAACGTCCTAGGCATGCAGTGGCCCCCATATGCCCTCACCCTGCACGTCGACATGCATGCGACCCTGCGCATGCAGCGGTCGCATGCGTCATGCCGCACCCCGCCCCACCTGGATCTCCAGCTGCGCCTTTGCCAAGCCGAACGCCGCCGCGCCGCCGCCCGCTATTGACCCTCTGAGGTCGTCCAGGCTCGCCATGCTGGCCCGCAGCATGCTGCCGGCGTCCAGCGACGACAGAGAGACCGCCGAGCAGCCCGCGTACCCGCCGCCCGTGGTGCTGCGCCCCAAGCGCCTCGATTCCATAGAGCACCGGAAGAGCGGGTTATCGCGCGCCAGCCTGCCAGAGAACGCGGCGCTCGCACGCGCGCGGGCCCCGGCCACGACCGCGCCGGGGCTGCTGCAGCGCCCGCACGCGGCGAAGCCAAAGCCGCTCGTGCCGGGCTCGTCGCCGCAGCCGCCCACGCCGCCGAAGGTCGGTCCGCTGAGGTCGCTGCGGGGGCTGCATGGCGCGTCTTCCTCATCCATCTCCTTGCCGCCGAGGCGCTTGTCGCAGCCGATAGGCGAGCAGCAGCGCACCGGCGCCAGGCGCGCCGCGCTCGGAGAGCAGCTCCAGCTTGAACGCACCGCCACCCCACCTCCGCCGCCGCTGCCGCCGCTGCTCCCACCGCCGCTGCCACGTGCCTGGCGCAGCAGCATGGGCGACTGGCCGGGTGAGAGCGGCGTGGGTGGGCCCTCCGAAGGGTCCGGGCTGCCGCGCTCGCGCAGGGGCGCTGGGGACAGCAGCTGCTGGTCTGCCGCCACATCGCACGCCGGCCCCGCCGCTGCGACGCAGCCGCGCGGCGCTGGGACGGGCCGTGCGCCCGCCGCCTTGAGCCGCGCGTTGGCCTCTGCCAGCGCCGCCGCCAGCTGAGCCAGCTGCTGCGCGGCGATGCGTGCCGCATCCTCCTGCTGGATCTGCTGCCGAGCAAGCGATGCGCGCAGCTCAGCCCCGTCCTGCTGCGCTGCCGCCAGCTGGCCGGGCAGCTCGCTGGGCGACTGCGTCTCCAGCACTGCCCTAATCACCCTGACCTGCTCTTCCTTGCAGGTCACCTGCTCCGTGAAGGGGGGAACGTGTGGGGCTGTTGGCTCTGGGGCGGCGCGTGCTGGGACGGCCGCGTAGCGTGTGTGTTGTTGTGCGTGGGGCGGTTGGACGAAAGGCGGTTTGGCGTCCAGCGCACACAGTGACGTTTTGTCTGTGCCCATAATTGCAGAGTTTGAAATCATCTCGCCATGCAGGCTGTGGAGTGCAACCAACAACAGGCACCAAGCTGCCGCTGCTGTTGCTGACGCTGCTGTTGTGGGCGTGCTGGCGTCCAGGCCTCATACCTCCATCTGCAGCTCCGTAACTGCGGCTGATAGCATCTCAACTTTGCACTCATATGCCTCCAGCGTGCCCTAGAGCGGGGATTCGTATGTAAGAACGCGCCGGGCGATAGATCGCGCGGGAGAACCTTGGAGGCCCTGTCACACACCTGCAACACTGCTAGTTGTTTTTCTGCACATGTGGGAGCGTCTGGGGCATGGGGCTCAGCCCCCCACAGGCTAGCCAGCAGCGTTGTCATGGTGCGTGTGTAGGCGCTGCAGCTCGCTCAATCCAGTGTACAATCTGCATTATAAGTTGACATTGTACGCGGCAGCCATGCGCATACGAAGTGCTGCAATACACCAACATTGGGTTTTGGTCAACTTCATGCCTGCTTGCGTCCTGATTGCTACAGGCCAGTGCATCAGTGCAATGCTGGTGCAGATGGGCAAGCGCAGCACATGCAGCAATTCTTCAGGTGACTTTCTTGAATTTTCATATCTTCAGGGCAAGACTATGACCCAAACGGGGGTCTGATGCGGCATCGCCGCTCGACAACCCCTGATGCACGGCTGCGAGTGGCTGGAGGGTGTCAGGTGCAACACAATGCACACTGCTCCCTTCTGCACCCTGCATGCCCACATCGCGGTGCCAGGCACTATTGTAGGTGCGCAGTTGGCCACGCGGTGAATTTGTTACTCAACCGGCACTCGTGCACAAAACTTGATCCATGGGTCAACATGAAGACGACACAGCAACACCACTCCGTTTTCAAAAAGCCGGTTCTCAAGCTAGACGATTGTAGTCCAGCCACGGCGCATGCACCCAGCCATCCCACCGCTCCATCCTCCCACCGCGCGCGGCGCCGTCACCGCGAGTACTGCGTCACCTCGCCGTTGGCCGCGATCAGCATCGGCTGCCCATCGGGCGCGACGATGACGGGCTCGCCGCGCGGCCCGTAAACGGGGCGGCCGTCCTCACCCAGCAGCACGGGCACCTGCCCAGAGCTGAGTAGCCGCTGGTACTCATCAGCGTCTGGGAAGCCGCCGCCGCCGTCGCCCGGCCCGGCGCCGCTGGGGCCGCCAAACGGCGGGCCGTCGTACCCCGGCGGCGCGGCGCCGTCGGCGCTCGAGGCGCGCTGCTGCATGAGCGCTGCGCGCTGCGCGGTGGCGAGCTCCTCTTCCTGCTGCTTGATGGCCTGGGGAGGGGGGGCGCCGCGAGCGGGGCTGTGTATGATTCGCACGCGATTGGACAGATTTCTACTGTTCCTCGTTCTTTGTATTTCAAGGCAGCAAGCGCCTCTGACAGACGCCCGCAGCACACAACCCAAATCGGCACCTGGACTCTGCGCGCCAGTTGCAGCTCTTTCCACCCGCGCCGCCCTGCCTTCAAAAACACACCCAGAACCCGCCCTGGTCCCCGCCCAACGACCACAACCAAGTACAGGTGCCTCCCTAGGGCCCCACGCGCCCCTCATCACCCTGGCCCTTTCGCGCCCGCCACCACGCTGCAGGGCCCACACACCCGTCCCCCGCACAGCCCCAACAACCCCCAAACCCCCTCTTGCTACGCTCTCCTCACCCGCAACTCCTCCCGCGCCTGCCTGTTGTTGGGCTCCAGCTTGACCACCGCCCTGAAGTCCTCCGCCGCCTCGGGCACGCGGTACAGGTGCTGCCGCGCTGTGCCGCGCCGCAGCAGCGCCTTGACGCGGTCCGCGGTGCTCAGATCAAAGCCCAGGGCGCGGTTGCAGTCCGCTTCGGCCTGCTCAAACCTGGGG